GGGAGAGAAAAAGAGAGAGAGAGAGAGAGAGGGAGAGAAAGAGAGAGAGAGAGAAAGAGAGAGAGAGAGAGAGAGAGAGAGAGAGAGAGAGAGAGAGAGAGAGAGAGAGAGAGAGAGAGAGAGAGAGAGAGAGAGAGAGAGAGAGAGAGAGAGAGAGAGAGAGAGAGAGAGAGAGAGAGGAATGCAAATTGCAGTTCTTCCCCTGTCTAATTCTGTTGATAATTCTGTTTTCAGTCGAAAGTGTGTAATGGATTTTACTGATGGCACAGAACAAACTCAAATTACAATCTGAGATGTAATAGGCATGATGGTAGCTTTAGTTCAAGGAACACGGTGCCTGTAGGTTCTCAACACACTTATAGACAATAACAGACTTGGAAGGGACCTCAGAGGTCTTCTAGTCCAACCCCCCACCTCCGCTCAAGCAGGAAAACTATACCATTCCAGACAAATGGTTGTCCAATCTCTTCTTAAAAACCTCCAGTGATAGCACCCACAACTTCTAGAGCAGAGGACTCCAACCTTCCAGAGCAGAGGACTCCATACATATACACACACACACACGCACACACACATAATATATATATATATATATTTATATAGATCTCTCTCTCTCTCTCTCTCTCTCTCTCTCTCTCTCTCTCTCTGTGTGTGTGTGTGTGTGTGTGTCTGTCTGTCTGTCTATCTATCTATCTATCTAGCTAGCTAGCTAGCTAGCTAGCTATGTATATAGCAGTGGTGGCGAACCTATGGCACGGGTGCCAGAAGCGGCACTCGGAGCCCTCTCTGTGGGCACACATGCCGCTGCCCCAGCCTTGCCTCCGCCCGCGACCCCCTCCTCACCAGCAGCCTCCCTGGAGGAGAGTCGCCCCGAGCATGGCCCACACGGAGCAGCGTAGCCAAGAACATGGCAGCCAGGCAGCGTAGGCAAGACTCTGCCCTCACGCCCCAACGCGCACAGTCGATGCTGCGGGGCGTGGGCAGAGGGCGTGGCCGCCATGGTGCTGCTGGGCTGTCTGGGCGATCTGCGGTGGGCCCTGGAGGCGGTGAGTGGCCCTGCGGGCAGGCAGGGTGGGGGCGGGACAGAGGGTGGAGCAGGGACGGGGACAGTTTTTGGGCACTCGGTCTCTGAAAGGTTCACCATCACTGTACTAGAATGTATTATATTACAATACAATACAGTGCAATACAATACAATGCAGTGCAATACAATGCAATACAATGCAATACAATACAATGCAATACAATGCAATGCAATACAATACAATGAAATGCAATACAATGCAATACAATACAATAATAGAAGCACCAGATTACACCCCTGTTTGCCCCTCTGCGAACGGCAGAGAGATATCGCCAAAGGGATTATCTGACTGTCAGAACAGTCTTGGGATGGAAGGAGTGGATGAGAAGAAGCAACCTTTGATCTAAGGAGATCCTCTTTGTTTTCCCCACACTTTCTCCTTTGGAATTAGATCAAAGCCAGTTGCAAAATTGCTGAGGGCTGCAAAGAGGAGTCCTCTAGGCCAGGAAGAATATTTCTCAGCTAAAATATTGGAGGACCAGACAGAAGTCAAGAGTTTAATCAGTCACCTTGGGAACTTTCCAGCTTCTTATTCGCCCTCTTAATTCCAGAGGGATAAAAAATCTTCTTCTGGATTTTTCCAGTCTCGGGGTCTGAAGTGAGACCCTTGACCTCAGATGTGGACACAGGAGGCAGTTAGAAAGATCATTTTGAGAGTAAGTCACAGCTGGAGTGCAGGGTTCAAATGGGAACATACCGCAAAAATAGTTCCCTTGGTATATTCTCTGTTTTAAGGTAGTCCTCGACTTACGGCCACAATGGAGCCCAAAATTTCCGTCACGAAGCGAGACAGCCGTGAAACGAATTTTGCCCCATTTTACGACCTTTCTTGCCACAGCTACTAAGCGAATCGCCGCCGTGGTTAAATCATTCACACGGTTGTTAAATGAGTCTGGCTTCTCCATGGACTTGGCTTGTCTGAAGGTGAGCCCCGTTGTAACTTCGAACGGTCATTAAATGAGCAGTCGTTAAATGAAAGGCAAGGATTAACTGTAGTAGATTCTGACACAAGAGAATCTTCCTTGCCTCATATAAATCCTCGTATTGGTGGAAACCCGCAGCCAGAGGAAGAATTTCTGTTCAGTTTTGTTAATAGGTCAAAAGCCAGGAAAAAAAATAATCCTGCACTAAAAAGCAGCATATGTTCCAGTCTTTATAAATAGAAATAATGCTTCCATCCTAATTACGATCACGATCAAACCAAATGCCACTTGCATGGATTAATATAGGAAACATTAACCTTAAAGTATTAAGGCTGCTAAATGTTCGCTGAAGCTTATTCAGTTAAATGTTAGTTTAATTGGACTGGATCCCTTTGAACTGCAAAGGATGATGTTTTATATTAGTAAGCTCATGTTATTTGGGGGGGGGGGTTCATGTAGCACTTCTGATATTAGAGCAACTGACGTATCCTATAATAAGAGACTTTTTGTAGTTATCCCCAGCTTTTTGGATGTTTGTGCAGCCCACGTCTTACAGATAGTCCTCGCTTTACGGCCGTTCGTTTAACCAGGGCTTTTCAACCTTTTCACCCATTGTACCACTTTTGGGTTATGGCAACATCCGAGTACCATCGGTCGCCTACCAAGGTGTCAAAAACTTAGTGACAAAAAAAAAAAAAAAAAAAAGGAAAAAAGTGATAAAGTACAGGTAGTCCTTGACTTACAACAGTCCGCTTAGTGACTGTTCGACGTTACAATGGCACTGGCGTTACGATGGCGTCTGCTGGGTGGTTGCAGCAGGTTTTGGTCACTTCACATGACCCTGGGACACTGTGACCGTCATAAATATGACTCAGTTGCCAAGCATCTGAATGTAAATCACAAGACCCTGGAGATGCTGCAACATTCCAGCTGATCGGCGCTTCTTCTGGGCTCAGCAGAAGTGCCAGGATCAGCACCGAGCTCCAGCTGGAGCCTGGCACTGATCCTGGCGCTTCCGCTGAGCCCTGACAGCCCTGCAGCTCCAGCCATCTCTCGCTCCGGCCTGTGCGGTGCTGCCACCGGTTCAGCTCATTCCCCTCCCCTGCTATCACTTTTCTAGGATGGTCGCGTACCACCTGCCAGGTGCCAATGTACCACAGGTGGTACCCGTACCACTGGTTGAAAAGCCCTGCGTTTAACAACGGTCCAGAATTACAGCGGCCTCAGAAAAGGTGATTTGCAAAATGTCACCCTCCCTCCTCAAAGTCACATGATCACAATTAGGTGGCCGGGCAACCCGTTTTCAGTTACGACCAGTTGCAGCATCCCACAGTCATGTAATTGCAATTTGTGTGTCATTTTTATTTTATTTGTAACATGTTTCTGGCAAAAAAAAATTTGTCAGTTTCCAGTATTTGTTTGTTGGGTTTCTGGAAAACTCGTCCATTCAGGGAAGTGGATTCACTTAACAACCATATGATTCACTTCACTTCCATCTGCTTTGCTTAATGACCTTAGTGATTTGCTTAATAACCACTATAAAAATGGCTGGAAAGTGAGATTCGGTCCCATGGTGCTCGACTTTTCACAAAAATTCCAGTCACAATTGTGGTCATACGTCAAGGGCTTCCTGTAGTAGTATTTACATAAGCATTTTTATTTTTTAAAAAAGCTCTTATTATTTTAATGAGCTTTTTGGCTAAGCTAATTTGACTAAGCACCTCTCTTAGTTCCTTTCCATTTTAATTTATTTGGTTCAATGACTGTTATTGTGTGTCTTCCTGAGGTAATGACAGCTGTTTGTGTGCTGCTTACTTTGATTTATTTCTTTTATTAAATTTAAAGGCTTACATTTTAAAAAGGTACGGCTGATAAAAGCCGATGCGGTTTAGCAAGCTGTAGAGCTGTGTGATGCGTTGCTAATACAGTTAGATAAATAATTTTATCAGTCGGTCACGCTCAGACAATCCTAAAGCAAAGAGTTTATGAGGATCTGATGTTTAGTTTTGCCATTTTTTCCTTGGTCCTTCTTAGAGTAGAACTTAAAGTTTCTTTCTTCATGCATGACCATCTTGCTGAGACTAGATATTGTTTCTATGCCCAGGCTTATAAACATTTTAAGCGCTAGTAATCCGAATTTGCTGTTCCTAGCCCACAACCTTTAAACTCTGATTTTTAAGGTGTAAATCAATGTTTCTCAAACTTGGCAACTTTTAACATGTGTCTAGTGCAGGGGTAGGCAACCTTGGCTCTTTTATGACTCGTGGACTTCAACTCCCAGAATTCCGGAGCCAGTGTGCCTGGCTGAGGAATTCTGGGAGTTGAAGTCCACGAGTCATAAAAGGGCCAAGTGTGAAGACCCCTGCTCTAGAACAGGGGTCTCAGAACTTGGCAACTTTAAGACTTGTGGACTTCAATTCCCAGAATTCCTCAGCCAGCTTTATACTGGGCATGGTTTCGGCATGATGCATCCGGCCCGTGGGCCGGCAGTTTGACACCCCTGTTTTAGAGAGTCCTTGAGGCCACCTGGAGGTTTATCTGTGTCCTCAGGGTCACCTGAGTGGTACAAATGGGTGTGGAGCCTTCTTGGAACTGCTGAAAGGGCTGTGTTGTTAGAGCTGCAGAACCATCCTGCAGAAAGCACAGCTCCACACACACAATCTTTTCAGCAGTTCCAAGAAGACTCCCCACCCATTTGCACCACTCAGGTGACCCTGAACGACTCTTTAAAAGAATGCAAATGACCAGCTGTCTGCAGGGAGTATAAATCCTCCCCACCATTCAGTCAGAACCTGAGGAAGCTTCTTGTATGAGAAGCGAGACGTCTTCAAAAAAAAAAAGCAAGGAAGTCCAGTTGCCTCCTGAAGAATCTTAGATGCATTATGTTTGCTACAACACCGGCCTAAGCTGTGACTTCCCTTTTCCAGGACATTTTGATCAGATTGCCTCCCGGATCCCGTTTTGTTGACGTGGAAGAGACCGACCAAAGGGCCATGGATGTGAAAGACAGGAAGCCATACCGTTCTTTGACCAAACGCTGCGATGCTGAACGCCGCTACACCAGCTCCTCCGCAGAGAGCGAGGACAGCAAAATCCCTCAGAAGTCGTACAGCTCCAGCGAGACTCTGAAAGCTTATGACCAGGATTCCAGAATGATCTATGGCAATCGGGTTAAAGACATGGTACCCCAAGAAGCAGACGAGTACTGTCGAACAGGTAGGTAGGAGCTACTCAAACCAATAAAGTAGCCTTTTTTTTAAATATCCAGGCTGTGGCTTGTCTGATTAAGAAGATTAAACAAGCCACCATTGTGAGGCTCCCCAAATCTAGAAAGACGTGCAGAGTTACTTCTTAGCAGTTCCCTTAACTGTTCCTCACCTATGGACAGAAATCTCGCCAAACTAAAGCAACTACTTGCTTCGTTAAAAAGATATAGATAGTCCTCAACTTAACAACAGTTCACTTAGTAACCCGGCACTGAAAAAAGCAATTTATGACCATTTTTCACACTTACGACCGTTGCAGCATCCCCAAGGTTCATGTGATTTTTTAATAAAGTTTTTATTAATTTTGCGAATATGATTCTTGCCACTGTTATCACATGTATATACATGTGATATACTTTGTTTATCAATCTTTTCTGGCATTATACCTAATTTTAAAAAGTTCAGGTTTAAAATCTACATGTTTTCCCAACATCTTTTCTAGCCAAGTATGTATTTTTGTCTAATACCTTTTTACTTAAACACATGTCCACCATACATGCTAATATGTACCTGACTTGTGTTTACATTTCCAACATCTCTCTGACATATTTTTAAACATTTTTGCTAATCTTGCTGGTGGCAAGCGCCATCTATAAAACATTTTATATAAATTTTCTTTGTAAGAAGTTGGCATTGTCAGTTTATAATTTCTTTCCCACAAGTTTTTGTCATTTTTCTAAATCTATATTATATCCAAAATTCTTTGCCCATGTTATCATTGTTTCTTTAACTTGTTTGTTTTCCATTTTCAACTTCAATAAAAAGTTATAGATTTTCTTAATTAATTTCTCATCAGAGGTTAATCATGTCTGATCAAACAAAGTCTGTTCTTTATAAAATCCGTACAGTTTAACATCTTTTATCGTATCTGACTTGCAGGATAGATCAATACCCTGATTTTCCCTCTCTTGTTTAGATTTTAAATTTCCCACGGCCACGTGGTTTATATTTGGATGGTGACAACTCACGTTTATGACGGTTGCGGTGTCCTGGAGACATGTGATCCCCTTTTGCGACCTTCTGACAATGGGGAAACCAGATTCACTTAACGATCGTGTTACTGATTTAACAACTGCAGTGATTCACCGAACACACGTGGCAAGAAAAGTCATAAAAATGGGGCAAAACTCACTTAATATCTGCCTCACGTAGCAACAGAAATTTGGGACTGAGTTGTGGTTGTAAGTCAAAAACTACCTGTATTTGTATAGGGCAGGGGTAGGCAACCTTGGCTCTTTTGTGACTCGTGGACTTCAACTCCCAGAATTCCTCAGCCAGCGTGGCTCAGCTTGGAAACCTCTCCCTTTCCCCTCAGCGTGGTTGGCTCAGGAATTCTGGGAGTTGAAGTCCACGAGTCATAAAAGAGCCAAGGTTGCCTAATCCTGGACTATAGGTACAGAAAAGTAATAAAAACGTTTTGGGAAGAGAGAGGCAGAGACAGACAGACAATTTAGTGAAGACAGCTGCTGCCATCTAGGTGTGAGAGATTGTGAAAAGATAGTGAAGGAAACAGGAAATTCAAAGGAACGAGAGAGGATAGAGGATTTATCTCCTAAACAGCAACTCAAACTTCAGTGGCGGATGCTGGAAATCCCAGGACAGAGAGACATAGATTTTTCTAGAGGGACTTTGTCTTAATGAACACGTTAAAAAAAAGAAGAAGAAGGAGGAGGAGGAGGAGGAGGAGGAGGAGGAGGAGGAGGAGGAGGCTGGCACTTCCTATTGAAGTTTCCACAATTCTGAACTTTTTCCTCTAAATTATTTATTTATTTATTACCCGCCTTTATTATTCTTACAAACAACTCAAGGCGGGGAACATGTCTAACATATCTTCCTCCTGTTTTTGCCACAACAACCCTGTGTGAGAGAGGGTCTGGCCCAAAGTCACCCAGCTGGCTTTCATGCCTAAGGCAGGACTAGAACTCACTGTCTCCTGGTGATTGGCCCAAAGTCACCCAGCTGGCTTTCATAACTAAGAAAATTTATTTATCTTTGTGTGAACTCTAGGGAGGGGCTTATCTACACCATTTACTCATATTAAATTCCAGATCCTCTGTGAGTAAGATGTGCGGTCTCTAAATTTGACAAAGAAAGAAGGAAGGAAGGAAGGAAGGAAGGAAGAAAGGAAGGAAGGAAGGAAGGAAGGAAGGAAGGAAGGAAGGAAGGAAAGAAAAAGAAAAGCAATCTTCTGTAAGTAAGATATGTGGTCTCTAAATTTGACAAAGAAAGAAAGAGATAGAAAGAAAGAAAAAAGAAAAGAAAAGAAAAATAAATACAGGCAGTCCTCAACTAATGACCATAACTGAGCGTGGAATTACAGTTGTTAAACAGGTCCTCATGCCGGTTGTTAAGCAGGTCCTCACATGACCATATGCGATTTCACCACCTTTTGGGGGGGGTGGGGTTCGTGTGTCATTAAGCAAACACCAACGTCATTAAGTGAACCCATTGTTCACAATGGGCGGGTTTTGCCAGAAACCGGAAGTAAAACTAATTTCTATTCCTTGGCTGTATGTTGTAGAACAAGATTCTCCAAACTTGGTAACTTTAAGACCTGTGGATTTCAACTCCCAGAATTCCTAGCCAGTATAAAGCTGGCTGAGGAATTCTGGGAATTGAAGTCCACAAGTCTTAAAGTTGCCAGGTTCTGAGGGGGTCTTCAGACTTGGCCCTTTTATGACTTGTGGACTTCAACTCCCAGAATTCCTCAGCCAGGCACACTGGCTGAGGAATTCTGGGAGTTGAAGTCCACAAGTCATGAAGGGGCCATAGTTCCCCCATGCTGGCTGAGGAATTCTGGGAGTTGAAGTCCACAAGTCATGAAGGGGCCATAGTTCCCCCATGCTGGCTGAGGAATTCTGGGAGTTGAAGTTGCCACGTTCAGAGACCCCTGTTCTAGAGCAATGTGGTCTTCTGATTAATGTACTGGATCAGCCTCAGGAAGGCCTAAGATCAAGTCCATTATCAGTCATGGAAATCCATTGGCTTATCTGAGACCAATCTCCTCAACCCAGCCTATCTCATAAGAGTGTTATGGGCTTTGGAGTGCGGAAATGACACCATGACGGGCAAGTTCTCATTGTGGGTTATTGTACATGCCATTGCTCCTCCCGTGGCCTGAACAATGCAGCGGTAAAAATTTTGATCAAATAAAAACATGAAGTTTCCAGAGGGAGGGAGATTAATTCTAGCTGAAGCGCCATGTCTGCTTTTCAGATAATTCAGTTTTTTATACGTTCAGCTGGCTGTCCAAACCTATGCTCAGCCATGAGGTGATGAATTGAAAATAGCTGTTTGTTTTTAACAAGAGCCAGAAATATTACCTGCATTAGTTGGTTTTCGGCTTGCTTGTTGTGTTCTCCACAACAGATTGGAACAATTGGCAATCTGGTTTAGTTAATTAAACGGGTGGATGATTCACCCACACCTTCCTACCTCTTCTGTACTAGCTATAGTTTCCAAAAGCCAGGGCTTTTAAAGAGTCGCTTTTCCACCGCCTTGAGTTTGGACCGGTGCGGGGGTAGTTTGGGATCCTGGCGGGGAAATCTTTTTTCTACGTTCATTTTACACCCTCCCCGATAAAGGCCAAACCCTCCCCGATAAAGGCCACGCCGGCCGGGCCTTTTTCCACGGCCTTGCGGCAAGGCGGCGCAAGGCCGTCTTTAAAAGCCCTGCCAAAAGCTGATTGGCATATTGTATGTGTGAATGTGTGTTTTGGATCAACCCCCTTTTTCTACCTTCAGCAATATAATATCTCCTTCAACAGTATAATATTTATAGCTCGGGGCTGAACTCAAGAGTCCCTGATGCTCTTTAAGCTTGATGGCAAGCCGCTAGTATATAAATATAAGAGAAAAGTCGTCTCCTGTGTAGCACTGATGATGTTACCAAGTTTGGTAATGAAACGTCTGCAAGAAAGTAATCAAGCTCAGAGAGCACCAAGGATCCCACAGTTGTCCTCCTCCTCCTCCTCCTCCTCCTCCTCCACAAACCTCACTCCCTTCCAGCAGTGATTATTTCCTGGCCGTAGCCCTTGGTTAGTTAGTTGGGACCTCTGAATCATTTTATTGGTGTCTGATTCTAACCTTCCACACACCCTTCCGAGTTACTGCTATAAGAGGGACAGGCAGTAGTGGAATTCAAATACCTGAACAACCGGGTCTCTTATTCGATGCAGGCCTGGGCCTCCGAGGCCTAGAACGGACCTCCGGAAGTGCCATCCACACACTTCCGATGGGCCATTCTAGGCCTGGGAGGCCTCCTCCAGGCCTCTGAGGCCTAGAACAGACTTCCGGAAGTGGCATCCACGCACTTCTGGTGGGCCATTCTAGGCCCAGGAGGCCTCTTCCATGCCTCCAAGGCCTAGAACGGACTTCCGGAAGTGGCATCCATGCACTTCCAGCAGGCCGTTCTAGGCCTGGGAGGCCTTCTCCAGGCCTCCGAGGCCTAGACTGGACTTCTGGAAGCCAGCTGGTTCTCCGAATGCAGCAAAATTTAGCTATCTGTTCTACTGAACCAGTGCGAACCAGCTGAATCTCACCACTGTATACAGGTAGTCCTCTACTTACGACCACAACCGAGCCCATAATTTCCACCGCTAAGTGAAACATTCGTTAAGTGTGCTTCCCCCCCTCCCTTTACAACCTTTCTGGCCACAGTTGTTAAGTGAATCACGGCAGTTGTTAAGTAAGGAACACGGCGGGTAAGCGAATCTGACTTTCCCCATTGACTTTGCTTGTCAGAAAGTCGCAAAAAGGAGATCACGTGAACCTCGGGGCACTGCAACCGTTGTAAATAGTGACCGAATTTTGATCAGGTGACGATAGGGATGCCGGAACCCGTTGTGTGAAAAAAACAGGCATAAGTCACATTTTTCCCTTTGTAACTTTGAACCCTTACTAAACAAATGGCTGTAAACTGACGATTAGCTGCATGTACCTTTAAATAAATAAATAAATAAATAAATGACTAAATAAATAAGATTTATTTAAAAAAACAAATAAATAATGACATTTTCCTTTTTTTAATCAAAATGGCTGGGTTTACAAGTGTCCATGTTTAGAGGGACTGTGGATGGAGAACGCATCGCTTAAGCCAACGGGCACTTGATCAGTTCAACTTCAGCCAATCTGCACATTTGAGTCATTCTCGTTCTTCTTGCAATTAAATATCGCAAAAAATGGGAAACGTGAACTTCTGCGCCATCTCTGATTACAGATGATCGCCTAATCCCAAAGGTGCTTTTTTTCAGGAGGCAACTGGACTTCCTTGTTTTTTCTTTGAAGACGTTTTGCTTCTCATCCAAGAGGCTTCTTCAGCTGTGACTGGATGGAGGGGAATGGAAGGATTTATACTCCTTGCAGACAGCTGGTCATTTGCATTCTTTCAGAGAATCGTTGAGGCCACTTGGAGGTTTTTGCTTTTGAAGACAGCAAAGTCCACATTGTGGACAAAGAGGACCGCTGGTTTGAAAGAGGGGTCAAAGAGGCCATCTGTGTCCAAGTTGAACAGCCCTCTCTCAACAAAGGGGGAGGGATACGACACCACCTATCTCCAGTCTACAACACAGTTCTTTTAGGCACTTCCAAGAAGTTCCAAGAAGTGTGGAGCCTTCAGTTCCAAGAAGGCTCCACACCCATTTGCACCACTCAGGTGACCCTGAGGACACAGATAAACCTCCAGGTGGATAAACCTCAACGACTCTCTAAAACAGACATGTCAAACACAAGGCCCTGTGGGCCGGATGCAGCCCACGAAGTGGTTTCATGTGGCCCGCGAAGCCATCCTGGAAACAGTGAGGGAATGGACCCCGCTGCCTTGGGCCTGGCCCAGGCCGGCCGGGAGCCAATGTACAATTTTGTGGTGGCCATCTATGCTGAAACGCATTCAGTCTTAGCTCCACAAGGCCGTCTGGAAACAGCGAAGAACCAGCCCCTGCCTTGTCGGCTCCGCCCCCTGGGTGCATGCTGGGGAGGTGTCACCCTTTGTGAGGAATGAAGAAATGCACCATGCATTGGCGCTTGCCCTGGTCCCCCCCCTTCTGCCAAAGACCCTCAGATCTGTCCCACTCCTGCCCAGGCCCCCACAGGCACCCTTGATGCGAATGATGTAGAGCTGGCCACGCCCACCCAGTAGGCCACACCCACTCCATCCATGCCCACCTAGTAGGCTGCACCCACCCTGGCCACACCCACCTGGCCCCCAAGGGCAACCGCAGTGCTGATGCGGCCCTCAATGAAATTGTGTTTGACACCCCTGCTCTAAAAGAAGGCAAATGACCAGCTGTCTGCAAGGAGTATAAATCCTTCCATTTCCCCACCATTCAGTCAGAACCTGAAGAAGCTTCTTGGATGAGAAGCAAAACATCTTCAAAGAGAAAAAAGAAAGTCCAGTTGCCTCCTGAAAAAGCGTCTTTGGGACAACCGTGACTTGGATGATGGAGAATCTCCATAGACATGATCACCTAATGTTCTTCTTCTTGTCCTCCTATCCAGGAACCAACTTTTCTTTACAAGAACTGGGCTTTGAAGATGTCTCGCCGCCCCACGGGACTTTATACCGGACTGACTTAGGACTGCCCCACGGCAGCTACTCCATCAGCGCTGGCTCCGACGCCGATACGGAAACGGACGCCATCATGTCTCCAGAACACCCGGTGCGGTTGTGGGCCCGCAGCACCAAGTCCGGCCGTAGCTCCTGTTTATCCAGCAGAGCCAACTCCAACCTTACCTTGACCGATACAGAACATGACAACACAGAAACAGGTAAGAAAAAGTGTCAGCTGGATTCCGTTGTGTGTTTTTTTTGCAATGTTCTCTCAAGGGAGTCCTCAGCAGGAGTCCAAAAAGTCAAGATGGTGGCTGCCATCCCACAGTTGCAGTCATCCCTTTGACTTTTTTTCATGAGGGACGCCCTGCTTTTGACCCATTTCTGTTCCTTTTGTGTCTTTGCGTGCGGTGTGTGCGTGAGTGGTTCAGGTGTTCGGTTATACCTCTGGCACATTTGATGTGAGTTGCGAGAAAACGGAGGAAGAAAAGTCATAATTCTCATCAAAAATGGCACATCCCGGTTAGAGAAAATAACTAAAAACATAGATTTTTAAGCCAGAATTGTTTTTGTTAGGCATAATAGTAGGAAACCATGAGAAAGAATGTATGAACTTAATTTTACACGTATTAACTGCAGCAAGAATAGTAGTATATTGGAAAAATGAAAATCTGCCAACGGAGGGAGAATGAATTAAGAAAATTTTAGATGGTGCAGAAATGGACAGATTGACAATGAAGATAAAAGAGAAAGAAGATTCAGTATACTTTAGAAGATGGGATAATTTTTATCAATGGCTAGAAAAATGAGTTAGAGAGAAAGGAACGTGATATGTACTATGTAACATTAAATAGGTATTAGTAAGAAGAAGACTATCGGGTCAAGAGAAGATTTAAGAAATATATTATTAACTAACATACTGATTATGAAAATATAGAAACTAATTATTACTGATTGTTTTTTAAATACATGAATCCAGACAACATGCTGTTTGCTAAATACTTGTTGTTGTTGTTAGTTGCGAAGTCGTGTCCGACCCATCGCGACCCCATGGACAACATTCCTCCAGGCCTTCCTGTCCTCTACCATCTTCTGGAGTCCATTTAAGCTCACACCTACTGCTTCAGTGACTCCATCCAGCCACCTCCTTCTCTGTCGTCCCCTTCTTCTATTGCCCTCCATCTTTCCCAGCATTAGGCTCTTCTCCAGTGAGTCCTTCCTTCTCATTAGGTGGCCAAAGGACTTGAGTTTCAACTTCAGGATCTGGCCTTCTAAAGAGCAGTCGGGGTTGATCTCCTCTAGGACTGACCGGTTTAATCGCCTTGCAGTCCAGGGGACTTGCAGGAGTCTTCTCTGCTAAATACTAAAGAATGTTATTTTATAAAAAATAATTAATTAAAAATTAATCCTTTTGTATTGTGACCCAAAATATTTACCCGTGAATGGCTGAAAGGCTCATGTTTTGAACTGACCAGAAAAATACTAGTGGTATTAAATGTCCTATGGGCTCAGGGGAAGGTCTATTTAAACAACAGTTTCAAGAAGGATGCTAATAAATTTCTTCTGCTCAAACGTCTCCTTTTCTGTTGTTCCCGGCCTTTATCTCTGAATAGATATTTCTCTTTTCAAATGATGTTCTACCGAGTTTCCAAAATGCATTCTGATTGACTCCCACTGTCTGTGTAAATAGATCTGCTGGCTCTCTAAAGGGACAGAGGTGACACACACAGACATAAGCAAGTGCGCACTTTGAGCCATTCATCTTTTTATGAAAAACTTGAAGGTCACTTCATCCTTGTTGTTTCCGCCGCAGAGTTGTCTTGCAGTTGTGGAGAGAGTGCTGGAACGTTAGGTCATCAATTCTTTAGGACATAAAGAGTGAAGTTAATACACAATGGCATCCGGTCTATTCCTTAATAAAAATGTTGTGTGTCGGCCACTCTGAAAAGGCCAGGAGACCATCTGGGTGATGCTAAGAGAATATCAGAAGTGATTCACTTCCTCTTACACCTCATAGTTTGATTTTTAGAATAGAGTAGAGTAGAATAGAATAGAATAGAATAGAATAGGAATAAGAGTAGAACAGAACAGAACAGAACAGAACAGAATAGAATAGAATAGAATAGAATAGAATAGAATAGGGACCATGGAGGTCTTCTAGTCCAGCCCCCTGCTCAGGCAGGAGAACCTATACAATCTCAGACAAGTGACTGTCTAGCCTCTTTTTAAAAATCTCCAGGGATGGAATGCCAACGATTTCTGGAGGCAAGCTGTTCCACTGGTTAATTGTCCTCACTGTCAGGAAGTTTCTCCTTAATTCCAGGTTGCTTCTCTCTTTGGGCAGTTTCTAACCATTGTTTCTCATCCTTCCCTCTGGTGCTTTGGAGAATAATGTGAACCCCTCTTCTTTGTGGCAGCCCCTCAGATACTGGAACACTGCTATCACGTCTCCCCTATTTCTTCTTTTCCTTAGACTAGCCAAACCCCAGTCCCGTAGCCGTTCTTCGTATGTAGTTGCTCTCCTCTGAATTTTTTTTCCAAACTCTCAACATCTTTTTTGTGATATGGGGACCAAAATTGGCTGCAGTATTTCAGGTGTGGTCTTATTAGGGCTTTATAAAGCGGCAATATTCCTTCGGGTGATCTTGATTCTATGCCTCTGTTTATACAACCCGGGATCGCATTAGCTTTTTTTGGTTGCTGATTTTTCTCACAGATAATGGGAGAGAGGCATGCCATGATATCAGGGCGCGAGAAGCAACGGATATGTTTATCGATCAATATTAATTGCTGGGTGTATCGATAGAAATGTATACACTTTAACTCTGGTCAATATGAAGTTTTATCCCGCTGCCATCAAGAGTAGATTTTAATGGGGACCATTAAAGCCCACTTTTCTTCCTGCGCAGGTTAAAATGTCAGCGGTTTTCCTTGGGGTTTCCTCATCCCTTATGCAAAATAAATAATCGGTATTGAGTTCCGGTTCTCTGCATTCCGAGCCCCTCAGACACTTTTATGACTTGGTACTTTCAAGAATCTGGGATTTATGCGTTTGAAGGGGAACATAGAACATAGAAGAATGGGATTGGAAGGGACCTTGGAGGTCCTCTAGTCCAGGGCTTTTCAACCAGTGGTGCGGGTACCACCTGTGGTACATTGGCACCTGGCAGGTGGTACACGAAAATCCTAGAAAAGTGGTAGCAGGGGAGGCGAATGAGCTGAACCGGTGGCAGCACCGCACAAGCATGAGTGAGAGACGGCTGGAGCTGCAGGGCTGTCAGGGCTCAGCGGAAGCGCCAGGATCAGTGCCGCTTTCCAGCTGATCGGCGCTTCTTCGGGGCTGTCAGGGCTCAGTGGAAGCACCAGCTGAAGCGCTTCTTTGGGACTGTCAGGGCTCAGTGGAAGTGCCAGGATCAGCGCCAGGCTCCAGCTGGAGTTCAGCACTGATCCTGGCGCTTCTGCTGAGCCCAGAAGAAGCGCCGATCATCTGGAATGTTGCAGCATCTCCAGGGTCTTGTGATTTACATTCAGATGCTTGGCAACTGATTCATATTTATGACGGTCACAGTGTCCCACTGAAGTGGCCAAAACCTGCTGCAACCACCCAGCAGACGGGGGGGAATAAAAACCAAACACCCCCCCACCCCCGCTGCCAATCCTCAACAGAAACGCTCACAACAATGGAAACCTCGGACAGGAGGAAGAGTGCGGCCGGGTGGGCAGGCAGGTGTCTTGCTCAGCCGTGGCTTGGGGGGCACTTTTTTCAGTGCCATTGTAACTTTGAACAGTCATTAAGCGAACTGTTGTAAGTCGAGGACTACCTGTACTACCTCTCTTTTTTGGGGTCAAGTTTTTGACACCTTGCTAGGCGACTGGTGGTACTCGGATATTGCCATATCCTAAAAGTGGTACAATGGCTGAAAAGGTTGAAAAGCCCTGCTCTAGTCCAACCCGCCTGCTCAACCTATTCCATTCCAGACAAATGACTGTCCAATGTCTTCTTGAAAACCTCCAGTGATGGAGCACCCACAACTTCTGGAGGCAACCTATTCCACTGATTTAATTGTTCTCCTGTCAGGAATTCCTCCTCAGTTCCAGGTTGCTTCTCTCCTTGATTTGTTTCCATCTGTTGCTCCTTGTCCTGCCTTCAGGCACTTTGGAGAATAGCTTGACTCCTTCTTCTTTGTGGCAGACCCTCAAATATAGGAACACTGCTATCATATCACCCATAATCCTTCTCTTCTTTACTCTAGACATACCCAATTCCCACAACCGTTCTTCGATATGTTTTAGCCTCCAGTCCCTTAATCATCTGTGTTGTTCTCTCTGCGTTCTTAGATTCTCTGTTGTTGCTGCCTATTTCTTCACAATATCTGATGTATTCCGCTCACTCATTTACATCACAATGATTGGGAACTGAATTCCTGGATTGACTCTGTCAGCAGATTTGCCCCTGAAAAGTTGAATCTGGAGACATCTGGTTGATTGAACGTATTTCCTCCAAAGTGATTCCATAATTCCAGATATTTTCCAGAGAAATGGTGGCTGTAACCCACATTGCTTTCGATTCCACAAACCAAATGCCAAATAATAAATGGATAGCCATTATTATCTATTCACCTGTCTCATTCTGTTTCAAAGATGTCCCTGTGTTTAGCTGGCAGTCAACACTACAAGTTGTCCTCCACTTACGACGGGCCGCCTCGCCACTGTTTGAAGTTACCATGGACCCCAATGAAGCAAAGAAAAAAATGGGCAATCACTTGTCTGAAATGGTATAGGATCTCCTGCTCGAGCAGGGGGCTGGACTAGAAGACCTCCAAGGTCCCTTCTAGCTCTATTCTGATTCATTTCTGAAAAATTCTTATGGACAGATCCATTTTCCCCTTCATTCTCAGAGAGAAAGGTGACTTTTTCAGTGCTGTCGCTCGTCACCGTGAAGGGGACACATTGCCCTACAAAAATTACCCCCCCCTCATTTATTTGCTCGCCCATTTTGAAGCCCCATTTCCACCCAGTCTTAATCACTGCTATCTTGCAGCAATAAAATCCCCTAGAGTTCACCTTTTGGTTTTCTGCCCGTGAAAATCAAACAAATAAAATTTCATAGTGTGCTTGTGCACTGCGTGAGGGACTTGATCCCCTTGTTCTTTGCTGAATCCTCCATCAATCAACTTATGAGATTGAGCATCAGGTGATAAAAGGCCGAGAAATTGCA